TAGATATAGATACATAAGAGATGTGAAGGTATAACTGACAGGATTTGCCAAAAGATTAGATATGAGGGGCAAGAGAGTAAAGAATCTAGGATGATACCTATGTTGTGAGCCTGGAGGATTGGGAGGATGGTGATGTCTTCAACAGTAACAGGGAAGTAAGGAAGAGGAAAGGGTTTGGGGAGATAAATAATAAGTTCGGTATCAAATGTTGAGTTTAAGATGTTTGAGGGACATCTAATTTGAGATGTCTAACAGGTAATGGGGATGTGAGACTGGCAGTCAGGAAAGAGGTTAGGGCTGTATAAGCAGATCTGAGAATGATCAGCACAGAGATTATAGTTGAATCCTTTGGATCTGATTAGATAACCAAATGAAATAGTGTAGAGGGAGAAGAGAAGAGGGCCCAGGACAGAGGTTTGGGGGACACCCAAGATTAGTGAGCAAGACCTGGATGAAGATGCAGCAAAGGAGGAATTCTGACAGAAGGAAAATTAGGAGACAGCAGTGTCTCTAAAACCTAGAGAAAAGGAAACATGAAGGAGAAGGTGACCAACAGTGTCAAAGACCGCAAAGAGGTAAAAAAAGGATGAGGACTGAAAAAAAGCCATTAGATTTGGCAATGAAGAGATCATTGGTTTCTTTGGAAAGAGGAGTTTCAGTTGAATGGTGAGGTTGGAAGCCAGAGTACAGAGAGGTAAGAAAATAAAAAAAGGAAGTGGAGGCACTGATTGTAGATGGCCTTTTCAAGTTTAACCAGGAAAGGAAGGAGAGATAGAGGACAGTAGTTAGCAGGGATGCTAGCATCAAGAGAGGGTTGGAAACATGGGTGTGTTTGTAGGCATCAGGGAAGTAGTCAATAGGGAGAGATTGAGAAAGTGGATATGACAGAGGAGGCAATTTGCCGGAGAAGATTGGATGGAATGGGATCCCTTGTTTGCCTTAGCAAAGAGAAGGCTTTTTATGAGACTGGGTAAAGGCAGAAATAGGGGAAGATGTCTGAGTGACATGAGATGTGGATGAGGAGAAAACAAGGAGTTTTTTAAAAATGGCCTCAATTTTATCAGTGACATATAAAGCAAAGTTCTCAGCTGAAAGGGTGTGAGGAGGGGGAGCAGTGGGAGGTTTGAGGAGGGATGAAATAGTAAATTGATTAGGAAGGTATAAGAGGATTGCTTTGCTACAATGAAGGTCCAGGTGAGATTATATAACAGAAATCTGTAATGAACAAATTAAGTAAGATTCTGTGATTTTCTCCAGTCTCATTAAGCAGCTCCAGTATTAGAAATGGTGGCCAGGTATGCAATGTCATCAGGAGGGAGTTAGGACTCAGTCAGTGTCAGAAGATGGACGGAGTGGGGAAAAAAAAGATTTACATTTACAAAGAAAGCAAGTTAAATAATTATGGAGCAGGTATCCCAGAGAGAAGAGAAGAAGACAGAATTGCTAGAGTGGGACATGTTGGGGGTAGGGTTAAGGGGGATAGGAGTGAGGGAAGAGGCAGTTAGGGATAGAGAATGGGGTTTGTACTTCAGTAGTTGGGGTGGGGGGTCAGAATTACTAGGAGGAGGAGAATATCAGGGGGTGGTAGTATGTCAACCATTGACAAATGAGTCTAGAGTAGTAGATGCTGGAGTGAGGGATGGTGAGGGAGGCAGATGATCATGCTGTTCAAGACCCTTCCTCATGGCAAGTGGTGACATTGGGTTCTGCAGGGCCTTGGGAGTCTGGTCTCACAGCAGTCATACAAAGGTAAGTCTGGTATAGTCTAGGAGAGTCCGGTCAGGAAGCAAGAGGTGGCAGTGGAAGGAGGGAACCTGGAACACAGATGCTAAAGGCCAGTGGCCTGGGGCTGACAAAAGGCCCTCTGAGAAACTCCAAGAAAAAGCCCCTGGAGGTGGGCAGCCTGGATGTTGGACTGACATAGGATCCTCTGAGTTGGCACTGTTGACCATCCTCTCCTCCTAAATGCTCTTTCCTCTATGGATTATTATTATTATTATTATTATTATTATTATTATTGGTCTTTTTTGCTAGGCAATAGGGTTAGGTAACTTGCCCGGGGTCACACAGCTAGTGAGTGTTTTGTGTATGAGGCCAGATTTGAGCTGAGGTCCTCCTGAGTCCAGAGCTGGTGCTCTATCCACTGTGCCACCTAGCTGCCCCCTCTGTGGATTTTTATGACACTACTTACCCCTGGCTCTCTTCCTACCTGTCTTCAATCTTCTTTGTTGCCCCTTAAACTGTGGGTGTTCCCTAAGTCCCTAAAGCTTTCTTGTCTTCAACTTCTATACTTTCTCTTTAGTAACCTCATCAATCACGAGTTTAACTGTCAACTCCCCATAGATGGTAACGTATATACACATAGACACATACAGACATACATACACATGCATATATATGTATGGTTGGTTATTGTCCTTCATTCTCCAAGAGGCCCAAAATGACATTACTATGTTGGAGTCAAGTTACAGTGTGTCCGACTGGGGCTGATCAGACCAATACAAGCTCAGAGTGCTCTACCACAGGTCAGGCACAAATAGTCCACGTGAACATTTGGAGAGGAGATGTCTCTAAATTTGTGTATCTCACACTTCTTTTGAGTTACTGTAATCCTGCTTTGTTCACAGAGCACAGCACTTTTATGCTAGGCAGTCCTGTGCTGGTGTCTCCCATGTCTCACAAATGATTTCAAAAGTTCTTCAGAGAGAATACACACCACACAGAGAAAACCCCTGTATCTCCCCTGGGCTTCAGTCCTACATCACTACTGTCTATTGGCAATGTAGAGTGGACGTCCTGGAGATAGCTCAAATTCAACATGTTCATAACTGAACTCACTACCTTCCTTCAAACCTTTTTCTGAACCTCCCGCCTTCTGTTAAAAGCATCATCATCCTTCAAGTCTCCCTGGTTCAAATTGTTTTCATCCTCCTCACTCTCTATCACCCCACATATCCATCCTTTCAGTTGCCAAATCTTCTTGTTTCTGCCTCTGAAACATAGCTTGTATCTGTACCCTTCTCTCTACTCACACAACTTCCACCTTAGTTCAGGCCTGTTCCACCTCTCACCTAGATGACTTCTATAGCATCCTAAGAGGACTCCCTGCCTCCAGTCTCTCACCACTCCAGTCTACCTTAGCCCTGCTGCCAATATAATTTTCTTCAAGCTGTAGACCTGACCATGTGACTTTTCTTCTCAATCAACTCCAGTGGCTCCCTGTGGCCTCTAGGATAAAACATAAACATTTCCATTCAGTTGTGAAGCCCTTCACAGCCTGATCTCAATCTATCTTCCTAGCCTCATTGGACAATACTGACCTTTCTGTCTTCTCTCCAGCCAAACTAGTCTTCTTTGTTTCTCTCTCTTCTCTCTCTCTCTCTCTTCTCTCTCTCACTCTCTCTCTCTCTCACACACACACACACACATACACCACGAAGCACTCTTATCTTCTGACTTTGCACCATCTGTTCCTCATAACTGGAACGTACTTCCTTCTCACCTCCTCTTCATAGAGTCTTTCTCTTCCTTTAAGGTACAGATCAAATAGCAACTTCTGCATGAAGCTTTTTCCTGATCCTCTCCAACTGTTGGGTCCTGTCTCCCAAACTACCTCATATGTTACTACTTAGTCTTAGCACAGTTTTAAGCTTTGATAGCTTCCATCTTTAGCTATTACAGTTTAAAACTGTGCTAGATTTTTGTTGTTGTTGTTTATTTTAGGCAATTGGGGTTAAGTGACTTGCCCAGGGTCATACAGCTAGTAAGTGTCAAGCGTCTGGTCTGAGGCCATATTTGAACTCAGGTCCTCCTGACTTCAGGGCCAGTGCTCTATCTACTGTGCCACCTAGCTGCCCCCTGTGCTAGACTTTTGAAACACCCTGTATTTGTACTTACTCACTTTGTATTTATAAATCCTGTATATTTACAAATGTATTTGTTGTCTCCCCATTTAGAGTGTAAGGTCTTTGTTTCATCCTTTGTACTTGTGTCTCCAGCTGTGCACAGTGCCTGGCACATAGTAGGTACTTAATAAATACTTGTTGATTGATTTGAGCCAGTCAGTAACCAGACCAAAGACTGAGGATTTGCCATTTCACAGAGCAGCACTAAGAATCTTCCTGTTGAATTGAGATTGAGAAGTAGTATGACACAAAGGATAGATGAATACAGGACTTGGAGTCAGGAAAAATAACAGCTGAACCTTATATAAAAGTCTCATCTGAGTCTCAAAGCAACCTTGTGAAGTAGGAACTACAAGCATTATACCTATTTTGCAGATGAGGAAACTAAGGTTCAGATAGTCTGAATGACTTGCCTATGGCCACACACTGATACTAAAGGTCAGAGTCAGCTCTTTCTAACTTTATATCCAGCAATCTGGTCACTACACCACTGAGGTTCTCCAAGAAAACCTGGCTTCAAATCCCACCTTTAACCCTTACTATCTCTGTGACCACTTCACTTATGCATGCCTCCGTTTCCTCATCTGTAAAATGGGTACCTGTAATACCTGCCTTTCCCTTCCTTGTTGTGAGGACCTCATTATCTCTTCTGCTACCTGCCCTTTGCTTTCTGTGACTACTGAGCAGAGAGCAGGAATCAACTGTCAACTTGCATTTAAGTGTCAATAATTATTATTTTAAATTAATTGGCAAAAACCCCGCCAAAACAACTTTAGGGAAGTAGGATTCGAACCTGCAATTGTTCTCCAGGCACAAGGTGACCCACGAGCAAGTCGCTTTTTAAGAAGCATCTCGTGAGTTGACTTCCATGAATTGGAAACGAGCAAAGCGAAACAACAAAGAAGCGGGTTAGAGCTCGCTGAAGCGGAAGGGGGCGTGGCACATGCCCTTTCCTAAGATGGCCTCCGAATCTGTCCATCATCACCGCTCTTGGACCCGCCCCCGAACTCACCTCTTCTATCGTGATTAGGGGCTCCAGCGCACCATTGGTCAAGCCACCTGTCGCTCAGCCCCACCTCCTTTCAAGCTGGGACGGTGGGAGGGGGGGAGGTCAATGACAGCTTCACTTCCGGCTCCGGCGGTGTGGGGAGCCGGGCCGATATGGAGGAAGATGCTGCTGGGTTCCGCTCGCCGAGCGCTGAAGCTAGGGCAGGAGCAACACCCTAGGAGTCCCGGCCCGCAGAGCGCCGGTACTATCGACAGGGCCATCCGGGGCTCAGGAGGTAGGAAGCGGTGGGTGTACACGAGCCGGGGCTGCCGGTGAGAGAACTGGGGGGGGAAGGGCGGGCTGTCCCTGGGGGCGGGGCAAGTGGCAGGGGCGGGGCCTATGGGTTCGTGGGGGTTGCCTTTGGGGCGCTCGGGGGTAGTGGGGCAGAGGAGGTTTGAGTCTGGAGTCTCAGGACGGGGAATCGATCTTTTCAGGGCGGTTTGGGCAGGGGGTCAGCTTTCGGGTCAGTATGAGGTCGGAGTTGGAGGAGTCACTTGGTGTTTGTTTTGGGAAGCGGGGTCGGGGTGGGCATCTAAGAGCTGCATGGGTGGCTTAGATGTAAGTAACTTCCGAAGGGGGAGTCTGCACGTTTGGTTTATCACAGACGGGCTTATATAAGGTGGTTATATAAGGTCTAACAAAGACCCAGGAGACAACTTGTAAGGGTAAATAAAATCATCATAGAATCAGTCAACCCCTTGTGTGCCCAAGTTTTCGTTGTTGGTCTAGTAGAATTGGGTGGGAGGGATTCGAATTCCCCCAACCCACCCCCAGTTTCAAGTCTCTAGGGGAGACTAGCGCAGAGAAATTGCGACTTGGGGTGAGGCGGTCTGAGGACTCGGCCTGGGAGACAGTGATATGAAAAGGACTGAAGTTGTAGACCTGGGCAAAGGTGGTCTCCCCTAGGTCCAGTCCTAATGAAATCAGGATGGAGTCAGGCAGATCCTTTTAGTAGACTTTGGTGGAGCTTAGGAAACAGCATATACTCTTTGTGGACCTCGATCTCTGTCAACCTATTTATTGCTCACCCAGTTCTGCCTAGTGTGAGGAATAGAACTGGTGTTTCGACCAAATAGTCTGGTGGTTTGACTTTGCCACTGGCCTAGAGTACACTTCCGGGCCAGAACCTTACTTTTGGATACCTACCTTTGTGTTTCTCCACAATGCGAAGAATTAGAAGGTATGAAGCAGTGCACACAATTAAAGGACTGGGGAAGAAACAAGATAATTGGGCTGGTTGAATTTGGAAGATAAGTTTGAAGGAGAATGGCTCTCTGATGGGAGTTTTCATAGAGGAAAAATAATGGGGGCAGCGTTATAGTACGAAATATGGGGAATAGACTGCCGAAAGAGAGATTTCAGATACATGTAATTAGAAGCAATGGCTTCCTGAAGGAACTGAGGGGACTCTGTGTGTTCTTGCTTCTCTTCTTAGCCTTCCTTCCAAAGTATTGAATCACTTCTGAGGAACAATCCTCTATCTGTCTGTCCTATTAGAAATGATGTAAATCAACAGCCTCAGGGCTCCCTTCTCTTTCAGAGAATTTGAAGTAGACAAGTACAGGTGAGAGCTAAAGAGGAAAAAAGTGGGACAGCAGGACCAGGAAGCATAGGAACATTGAGAAGGGCTAATGAATGAAGACAGCTTAGTGACCTGTGATTTGTTATGAAGAGTTTCTTTCCTTCTAGAATTAAACTCTCGAACTGATCTCACCCTCAGCCAGAGTCTCCTTATCTTCTTTAACTCCATGTTCCTGCCCTGCCCAGTACATCATCAGGTTTGTATGAGTAAATCAGGAAGCCTGTCTTCCAAAAACCGTGTTGTATTTGTCCTAGGAAAACAGCACATTCAGCTACTCAGAAAACAGGTTGGAAAGGCAAAGAAAGAGACTGATTTTTCCAGGGCAAACTGAAGCAGTGCCTGGGCATCTAGCTAGTCATCAGGTTCACTCAAACCTGGAGGACTGAATGAAGGCCACATTTCCACAGCTGTGCCTCCCGTTCTTGGGAAGGAAATGACTCAGCATTGAGAGAACTATTCTGGAAATCTCCACTCCCCAGAGCAAAAATCCTAACTCCCAAGATTGGAAATGTATCTGATACATTTCTGTGCCCAGAAACATGTCCCCCTTCTCTTCACTCTCAGAATGAGACACTTATGCTAAGATGGGTGAATATCCTTTGCGGAAGTAGGGAAAGACAGAAGTGCCCTTCACCCTTCCCAATCCCTGTCTCAGTATTGCTGTCTCAATATTAGCATTTTCAAGTAGTTATACTCTTTGATCCCAAAGTCTTCTCTGTCTCACCAAACTCATTTCTTGTGATTTGTCATTCTAGCCAAGCCAGTTTATTTTCTGTCTTTTCATACTCTTCTACTGTCAAACTTTTGTTTAGGTTGTTCTCCACTTAGAAAGGAATGGAAAGGGTATTTTTCTCAATTCATGCTCCTCTCCTGCTTTCAAACTGTCTTATATCCCCTTCCTCCAAGGAAGCCTTCTCTAGGGTAACCTTGAATAACCCTGACTATTCATTTCCTTTAAATTATTGACTAAACTTTCAACCCTTATGTACTCAGTTTGCTCTACAAGTATCTTTTGCTTTATAAAAGATGTGTTTCAGAAAAATTGGTTAGGAAGCTAAAGAAGCCAGGAGGTAAAGATGAGATGGGAGAGAATTCTAGGCATAGAGGATAGTCAGAGAAAATGCCCAGAGGCAAGAGATGGAATATCTTGTTCAAGGAACAATTAGGAGGCCATTGTAGTTGGATTGAAGAGTATATGGGAAGCATGTAAGATGTTAGAAGACTGGAAAGTTGAGGAGGGGGCAGTGGAGTTGGTTCTGAAGGGCTTTGAATGCCAAATAGAATTTTATATTTGATCCTAGAAGTGATGGGGAGCTGCTAGAATTTATTGAATAGCTGGGTGACGTGATTAGACTGGTGCTTTAGGAAAACCATGTTAGCTGCTAAATGGAGGGCAGATTAGAAAGGAGAAATGTTTGTGGCAGGCAGACCCATCAGCAGGCTGTTGCAGTGGTCCAGGTACGAGGAGATAAGGGTCTGTACCAGGATGGTGGCAGTGTCGGAAGAGAGAAGGAGGCACATTTGAGAGATGTTACAAAGGTGAAATTGGTAAGCCTTGATAACAGAGTTGATATAGGGGGTGAGAGATAGTGAAGAGTCAAGGATGATACTTAGGTTGTGAGCTTGGGAGACTGTTAGGATTCAGGTGCCCTCAACAATAATAGGGAAATTTGAAAGGAAGGGGAGAGTTTTCCAGGAAAGATAACGAGTTCAATTTTGGGCATGTTGAGTTTAAAATATCTATAGGACAGCTAGTTCTGAGATGTCTGATAAGCAATTGGAGATGCTCAACTGAAGGTCAGAAGAGAAGGTCAGGTCCAAATAAGTAGATTTGAGAATCATCTGCATAGAATATGCTAATTGAATTCATTGGCGCTGATGAGATTAAGTGAAATAATATATAGAGTGAGAAGAGAAAAGGGTCCAGGACAGAGTCTTTTGGTATCACCACATTTAGACCTGCATGAAGCTCCAGCAAAGGAAGCTAAGAAGATTCAGTCTGATTGGTCAGAAGGGAACCAGGAGAGAATAGGGTTGAGAAAACCTAGAGGGAAGAGAATATCTAAGAGAATAAGGTGATCAACAGTCAGGGGCCACAGAGAGAGGTCAGGAAGGATGAGGACTGAAAAAAATGGTCATTGGATTTGGCAATTAAGAGAGCATTGGTAACTTTGTAGAGAGCAGTTTTATTTGAATGATGAAGTTTGAAGCAATAGTGTAGAGTTAAGAAGAGAATGAGAGGTGAGGAAGTGTAGGCTTCCTCTTCAAAACTTTAGGTTTTATAAAATGAATTAGGGGTGTACTTGATAATTTCTTTGTTTGAAATTACAAAAGGTGAATTTACTTTAACTTTGGGGTGGGAGGGCAGTACATAAATATTAATTTGCATTGTTCTCTACTTTGTGTCTTATATTTGTGTCCTAGAGTTATATCTTATTTACCTCATCCAACTGAGAGCTCTCTATTCTGAAAAGACCTTATCTTCTCTTCCAGATTTTCCTCCAAGTACCTAGGACAGGGATCAGCACATAGTTGGTTTTCAGGATTGGGGACTTAAGGGCAAGAGTCTGACTGACAAAGCTAAGGAAACCTAGCTAGCCTTCCCAAATAGTTGCTTTTTTCTTCCTTTCCTTAGAATGTTTTCTAATAATTAAAGGAACAATGAACCCTTTGGCCTAACTTTGTCAAGAAAGAGAGAGAGAGAGGAGATTCCAAACCTTACTACCATGATTCTCCATCCCCAGCTTTCTCTTTAGCAGGAAGAAATTTATAGAACCAGTGAGTAGCAGGGTGGATCAAAAGAAGGAAGAGGAGGAAAAGAGGATATAAGGATCAGAAAGACTAGCATAGGACTGGAAGTAGAGAGGTTTAAATTACCAAAGAGGAAGGACTGAGTAGCAGTGGGCTGCTTGAATGGTGACAACAGATACTCCACACATGAGGAAAAAGAGACTAAGAGAAAGAGAGCATTATGCCAGGTGTACTATTTAGCTATTGGAAGATGACCACAATGGGAGGAACAATGGCTTTAGGTCTCTGTATTTCCCCGTCTTGCTCAGGTACTTTCCAATGGATGTCTTTAGGGATGTCAGTCCCTAGAAACCTCACTCACTGGCAGGTGGCCAGTCTGCTTCATTTTGGACTCTATTGGGAAGACTAAGAAGAAAGTGATACAGTCCCTGACCAGGGATATACTACCAGAATCCAGGCAGAAACAGGGCAGATTACCCATCCATGTAGAGCTTTAGATCTAGCAGCTGGTGGGCAGACTTAGAAGTGAAGCCTGGTAAAACAATTTGAGAATTTAAATTATTTGGGAGGGGCAGGGCTGGGCAAACATGAGAGTATTAGGCATCTTGGTGGTGGGAGATACAGCCTTTGTGAAAGCTCAGAGGGTGGAAATGGCCAGGGGTGAACCTAGGACAGGGAGGAGCCTGTCGGGCTGAAGTGATGTTTGACTGGGGTTCCTAGAAGATGAAGCATTAGCTAGGATGCCTGGGGTTACAACTTCAGAACTCAAATTGCAGAGACATTGGGCAGAGGAGTCCTGACCTCGTCCCTTCCTACTATTTCTCTTCCTCTTTTTCTTCATCTCTTTCCATCCCACTCCCTGCACTGCCCAGGCATTCAGGCACAATGGAGGATAAACGCAACATCCCAATCATTGAGTGGGAACATCTGGACAAGAAGAAGTTCTATGTCTTTGGTTTGGCAATGACAATGATGATCCGAATCAGTGTCTACCCCTTCGCCCTCATCCGCACACGGCTCCAGATACAGAAGGGCAAGAGCCTCTATCAAGGAACCTTTGATGCCTTTGTCAAGATTCTGCGGACAGATGGGGTGTTAGGCCTCTATCGGGGTTTCTTGGTCAACACACTCACCCTGGTCTCTGGCCAGTGCTATGTTACCACCTATGAGCTCACCCGAAGGTTTGTGTCGAAGTACAGCCAGAGCAACACTGTGAAGTCCCTAGTGGCTGGTAGCTCAGCCTCACTGGTGGCCCAGAGCATAACAGTGCCCATTGATGTGGTCTCCCAGCACCTGATGATGCAGCGCAAGGGCGAGACCATGGGCCGATTCCAGGTGTTTCGGGGTACAGAGGGCCGGGGCGTAGTGGCTTTTGGCCAAACCAAGTATATCATTCAGCAGATCCTTCAAGCTGATGGAATACGGGGCTTCTACCGAGGTTATGTGGCTTCTCTACTCACCTACATACCCAACAGTGCTTTATGGTGGCCCTTCTACCACTTTTATGCAGGTAGGCAAGGGTGTAGTGGGTAGTCAATGAAGAGTATAAATACTGAATAATGGTTGTAGTTGCCAATGGCTTTCTGTAACAGAATCAGGATTAGCTAATGGAATGGGACATTGGAATGGGAAAGACACATGAACTGACTATGGAAAGAATACTGGGGGGTGATAATAAACCCCACTTTTTTTTTTTACAGAGAAAGAAACAGAAAGCCTAGAGAGGTTTTATCTTGCCCATTTCACACAAGTAATAAGTGGCAGAGCCTGAGTTTGAACTCAAGTTCTTTGATTCCAAGTCCAGGACTCTTTATCATACTATGATGCCTTCTTAGGGTGGGTATTTTTCTTTAGCATTGCTCTTGTTATTAGATTTGAGGTAGGATGTAACCTTTGTTCCTCCCTAACTCACACCCTCGCGATTTCTGTGCTTATCTCTTTCAGGGGCACAAAATGTACCTTTCCAGCCTATAACCCTTTATTTTGCCCTCTTATCTAATTCATCTTCTGTTATCTTGCTCTATCAATTATGTTTGTCTCATATCTTCAGATACTTCCTTCAAATTAAGCTTCTGCTCCCCGTGCTCTACTGAAACTCTCAGAAGTCACCAGTGACATTGTAATCATTAGGTTCAGTTACCTTTTCTCCGTTTTCCTCTTTGACCTTTCCGTTGCATTTGACATTGATCCACCCATTCCTTCTAAAAAAAATTTCAGTACTGCTACTGTCTTGAATTATCATTCTTTCTCTTTCCTTCTTTTGTTTATTTTCACTACCAAATTTCTCATAATAGTAAGGGACAGTGTACAAGGGATTCCTACATTACTTAGGAAGTTAGAAAAGATGATCTTTAATTTTCCTGCAAACTCTTTAAATTCTAAGAGTGGTCTGTATTCATTGTCTTACCTTCTTAAAATTATTTTTCCCTTGGCTTTCATAATCATGCACTGTTCTGGTTTTTCCTCCCAATTTTCCTTTTGTTGACTTCTTCCCACCCTCCATTTTTGAATGCTCCTCAGAATTCTGTCCTTGTCCCTTTTCTGTTTATATTGTTCTACTCCTTGGTGATTTCATTTAATCTTTCAGGATATTAGGAGACATCCTGTTTTCCAGAGCTAAGGCCCAGCAAGCAAGCTGTACCTTGAGCTTGGCATAACAACAATCCTTTGCGCTCACCCTCTAGATGATCTCAGCTCCTACAAAATCCCAGAATTGTTTCATATAATTAGTTCCGTCTGGTTGACAAATCTCACATATCAGATGACCTTCAAATCTTCAGTCTGAACCTCTCTTATCTGCATGCCCTTCCAACTTTTAAACTGAACAGGTCCAAAACTGAAGTAATCAACCAATCTGTTTCTATGTAGGGGACCACCATTCCTCTAACATCCAGGCTTAAATTCTCAGAGACATCTTTGGCTCCTTCCTTTCCCTCCTTCACCTCCAATTGTCAAGACCTATCAGTACCTCTGCAGTGTTTCAGACACTTGTCCCGACCATCCTATTTCCAGGGTCATCAGAACCTTATTATCTTTCCCTAGACTCTCCTAACTCATCTCCCAACCTCCCTTAAATCCAACTTGCACACTACTTCAACTTCAGGTGCACTTTATTATTTAGCAAATAAAAGCCACTCCCTTCACATAAGCCCACAGTCTAGCCAAACTAGACTATTTTCTGTGCTTTCCCACCTCAGAGCATTTGTTTGTGCAGTACCCTCTACTTAAGTAAATTCCCTTCCTCATTTCTGTTTGTCAAAATCTTACTTCAAGGCCCATTTCAAATGTTGCCTTCTCAATGAAGTCTTTCTTGATTCCTCTCTCCCCAACTAGAAATTATTTCTCTATATTCTTAATAGCACTTTATTCATGCCTCTCTCATAGCAAGTATCATTTTGGTATGATTACTTCATTTTAAGGAGTATTGTATGCTCCTTCAACACAAGTACTCTCTTATTTTTGTATCCTCCTCAATGCCTGGTACATAGCAAGCAGTACTTAACAAACATCTTATTGAATGAGTGAAAGGGGATGGTAGCTGGAATCTTTGCCACCTTCTACTACTTTCTTTCCATTGTTTTCTCTTTCCTTTCTCTACTCTCTACCAAAGTGAGAAACTGGACCTGGTTCATGCTGTGGCTTGCAGGTTCAGAGGCCAGTCCAGGCAAGCCCATTTGGCTTGATATTCTTTGCCAGTTGCATAATCTCTGTCCTCTGCCTTTTTGAGAGAAATAGGACATTCAGACAGAAGATAGTGTTGCCAATCCAGTTTGCTCTTGCTGACCTACCGTCAGCCAGAGTTTTGGTTCGTGTACTATGCTTTTGGGAGAAAAGGAACTAGAAACTGGAGAATTAAATTGTAGGAATTTTGCCCTATCAGTTGTGATTCATTTACAACTCTCATTCTCAAGTAGTATGAGAACAAACCACCAAAACTGGAAGAGGGAGATGAGAGGTAGCAGAAGGTATCTTCTCTAGAAATAATAGGAATTATGGTAACTCAGTCTAAAGAAGAGAACACTGAAGGGAATCCTAACTCCATGTAGGTGGGTGAGCCCTTAATTTTTAACTCCATGGAGTATGTGCTAAAAGGAGGTAGTTGCTATTACAGTGGGAGTATGTGGGGAGATTGAGGCTGGACTGGAAGGCTTTCCTAATGATCTGGGAATATGTGTACTGAAAAAGTGGCACCATCTCCTTTCCTAATACTTTTGAAGAGTAAACTTCCACTGGCCTGGACTTTGAGGAGGTTCACTAGTTTTTCAGAGCAATGATTTTGCTGTTTAATTTGGAAATGGGAGGTATCCCAATAAGAAGCATAGGAGTGATCTATCAGGAAGAACTCTCCATCTATCATGAGAATAGGTAAGCAAAGTTACAGAATCTGTTTCCCCAGAGGGGACCTGATCTCTTCTATTCAAATTAGGTGGTGTGATTGAAATGACATTTGAAAAGGGTGGGATGGAAGAAGACAAGAAGGTGGGGGTGGTGGGGTAAAAGATGGCTAACTGTAGAAGATAGTCATCTTTAGACAAGTAGAAGCAAGGAGCAAAGGGGAGTCACTTGCAGGTCTTATATGTATTTGCTTTTTTCCCCACTTCAGAGCAGCTCTCCCACATCTGTCCTAAGGACTGCCCCCACATAATCTTCCAAGCCATTTCTGGGCCCCTGGCTGCAGCCACTGCTTCTGTCATCACCAACCCGATGGACATTGTCCGAGCCAGGGTACAGGTAAGAGGTCTCTTTATCATTTGTTGAACCCTGTCTTGAGCATGACCTCCCAGGCCACACATCTCTAAGTCCCATCTTCAATATCTGCTTTCATGTCTCTATTCTGGCCCATCTCCCTATACCTATTTCATCCTGATCCCTCCATTCTAGCCAAATCCCTTCTTGTGGTACTTCACATTCACAGCCCATTCTACATTAGGATAGTTCTAATTATTAATAAGTTTTTCTTAGGTAAAGCTTAAATCTGTTTTACAGTTTTGACGTTTCTAGTTTTGTCCTGTGGGGCCAGTCAGAAGTATAATCTCTGTTTGACATGATAGCTTTTCAAATACCACGAAAACCCTCTTGACCATCCTAAATCTTTTCTTCAGGCTAAACATTTCTGCTTCTTCATTTCTTCACTTGGTCTAATCTCAAGACCCTTTGTTATCTTCATTTCCCTCCTAAGGTTGCTCTCTAGCTGATTGATGTCCTCTCTAAAATGCGGTGTTTAGAATTGAACACAATAATACTGATATGGCTTGAGTATGGTAAATGACAGAAGGACTATTATATCCTAAAAAGCGACCAGGGAGTCTTTTAATGCAAACTAAGGTCACAGTAGTTTTTCTGAATGCTGTCTTATGCTACAGGTTCTCGAACCTTTATTCCAATGAAATCCCCAGATCTTTGGCAAATAAACTGCTCTCTGAGCTATATTTCCTCAATCTACTTATACAGTTAATTTTTCAAACTCAAGTATAAGACTTTACATTGATCCCTATTAAACTTCATCTTATTACATTCAGCTATCATTCTAGTTTGTCAAGGCTTTTTAAAATCCTGATTCTGTCATCTAACATGTTAGCTATCCCTCCTAGCTTTGTGTCAACTGCAAATTTGAGGAGCACACCATGCCTGTATCCAAGTCATTGATAAAAATGTTACCTAGTACAAAGTGAAATGCAGATCCTTGGGGTGCTCCACTAGGGATATCCCGAAGGGCTGACATTCAACCTTTAATCACACCTGTTTTGGTCCAGTCAGTCTGCCCCACAGTCCACCTGAGCTCCCCTTGGGGATGTGGGTCTTGCCCCAGATGCTTGAGAGTTGGTCTAGGGATTAGAGGCTTCTGCCTTTAAGGAGTCCACAGTTTGATGGGAGAAATAAGTCAGATATGAAAACTTGGCAGATGATTGAGCTGAAAGATCTTTGGGAAAAGCTGAAGGAAGCAGAATCAGAGCAAGTTAGAGAAAAGGCTTCTCTGAAGAGGGAAGTGTGGAATAGGGTTAATATTGGCTCATTTACATAGCACTTTAAGGTTTGCAAAGCATTTTCCACACTGAAATCTTAGTGAGGTATGAAGTGAAGTATTATCTCCATTTTTCAGATGAGGCAACTGAAAAGGAATGGTTAAGTGACTAGTCCAAGGTCCCATAGCCAGTAAGTATCAGAAGTGAGACTTGACTAAGTATCTGCTGACTCTTTTCCAGTATGCCACGGGTTAAAGTTAGGGATAGGGTTGGGTAGAGAGGAGTTGGAATGTCCTAGTCTTGGGCTAAGGAGAAATCTTCTGTGAAGACTCACGAGAGAATGAAGTCTGGAGAAGGAAGGGGTTAGTCTTCCTATAGGTCACCCTAAGCCATACATAGAGTCTCCTGAAGACAGAGGTGCTTCTGAGGAGCTATCCAGAGAAAGAATAAAAGAGAAGAGGTTCCTTGTCTTCTAGAGTCCTTAGTGGGGAGTAGAACATACCTTTCCCCCTTTTCAGGACAGAAGTAAAAAAGAGGATCCAGCCAGCCAGAACGAGTCCTGGGTTATGGGGGTAGGGGAGTCATTAAAATTAAATAAACAGTATAGTTTCACTGATATGGCAGAGTGGATAGAATTTGAGGCTTGGAGTCAAAAGACATGGGTTTATATCTGGCCTCTGACACTTATTGGCTCTGTTCTGAGCCTCAGTTTCTTCATCTGTAATACAGGGATAATAATACCTGCTCTATGTATTATACAAGGCTGTTGTGAGAATCAAATGAGATAATTTTTATAAAGCCCTCTGCATATTTAAAGAGCTATATATATATTTTATTATTCATATACTGCTTCTTCCCCATGTTGTTTTTTATAGGTGGAGGGCAAGAACTCAATCATCTTGACCTTCAAGCAGCTGTTGGCAGAGGAGGGCCCCTGGGGCTTCATGAAGGGTCTCTCTGCCAGAATCATTGCAGCCACACCCTCCACCATGGTCATAGTGATAGGCTATGAGAGTCTCAAGAAGATCAGCCTTCGGCCAGAATTAGTGGACTCCAGACACTGGTAATGGGTAGTAGGGAGAGGAGCCTGCCATGCCTTGAAGAGAGGGACAGAGAGAAAGGGGACAGCACCCTCCCTTGGCCGTGCACACAGTCCTAAGCTGTGCTGGCTGCCTGGAAAGGGGACACCAAACTGCTCTGATTGAATAGGCTTTGAGCTTGGATCTCCAGCTCACCCTGTTTTCAGTTCTCTGGCCAAACTGAGCCCCCTTATCCAGGCTTTCTTTTCAAACCTTAGCCAATCCTTTTTTTAAAAGGGAATAGTTAAGGAACCTTCCTCAGCTTCCCTCCATCGCCATCCTTAGGCTGTACATAGGTTGCTTTTCACTCTTCTTTCCCCTTTGACTGCTTTTCCAGCCTTCAAGGGACCATGGTCACCTCTTGCCCTGGCCCCCTTTCTTAAGCCAGCTGATTCTTAATTCTTTTAGGATGGAGCTGCCAAGAAAACTAATATCTTTTCCCCCACCATTGGGGGAGTGCCCATCTCACCAAGGAGGGAGCAGCAGAGAACCTCTAGTTGTCTGGAAAATTCTTCCCTCCATCTCTGGGGAAGTTGATAGTTTGGGGTAAGGGAACGGGAAGAAATTCTCTGTGGATTAATGGAGTTTTTTTGTTAAAAATTTGTGAACCAGACTGTTGTCTTAAGCCCTGCTAGAACACCATTCCTGCAGTTAGAACCCATGTCTGCCATAGCAGTTGGAATATGTAGCTTTTACCTCACCACTGGTTCCTTATCCTCTTCATCTTCCTTAGTCCAGTTCCCAGTAGGTCTTTGGCAGCACCTTTGACTACTGGTTCCCCATCCCAGCCTCCCAAACATTTTCTGTAGTAGGCATGATGCCTGCATAACTGATGCTGACAGGGAAGAGCAGGCCTAAAGTAGCACCCTGAAAAGTTAGATTGATCATGTAGAGGGTTTGCAAACAGAGAAGAAGAAGCTTGCTGAGACAAAGGAGGAGAAAGCATGTCATCACAGGTCATTTTAAGCTCTGGACATCTCCAGCCATGGATACATTTCTTCCATCAGTGACAGCAGATGCTGTCTATCTCCCATGGAGCTCCTCAGCTGAAGGATAAGAATCTTTATAAGGTATTGAGCTGATAATCTTCTCTCACTCTGTGATACTAGAAGTTAGCACAGGCATATCCCTAGAAGTATGGTGATGGTGGGGGGAACCCAGCTTCCCAGGAAGGGGTTCTCAAAATGGGGAAGGATGCATCTTTCCTCTGTCTCCATTCACAGCCATCACCATGTTACCAGCATGATACTGCCAAAATTTCCTGTTGAAGCCCTTCAGAAACCTAGGAAATTGAACGACTTCATCTCCCATTGCAACTCACACAGAATGAATTACAGTTAGATTCAACCTTGCTGATTTTCCAGTGGGGCTACAGAGTTGGTTCCTGGAATAGGTGCCTTGTATAGGACCTCTTGCTTCTCCCCATCCAGGAAAGGTTAGGGTGCCTTTCCATTGAGAGGTGCTAGCTTTACAACAAACTTGGTATTTCTTGTCCTCTACACCCCACCCACCACCCACCCAGGTACCCTAGAAACAGCATCTATTTATATTGAACTTAATCCTCCACGTCACTTCTGGTTTCCATATCCATATTTGTGTCTTTAATATCTGTCTTATGTCAGTCTCTCATCTACCCCTCTTCTTCTCTGCTTTGCTGAGGGGTTTCTTCTCATGTCCTTTTTGCCACCTCTGAAGGAACCACCTGTTCTGAAACATACAATTCTTAGGCTTGGAATGACCCACATAATGGAAATAGAATTGCTTCGTTCTCTTTACCATCACTGTAAAACCCTGGTTTCTCTTGGTTCCAGGCCTCTGTCCTGCAAGACTTTGATTTCAGGCACCCTCCTCTATCTGGGCTGAGTAGAAGTGCTGTGGGAATGTAGAGATGATTGCACCCCCCACCCCTTTGAATTCTGCACCGCCCTCACACACCTCTCCTCTGCTTCTCTGTAACCCCTTTGTGTCTTGCTATTTTCTTGGACCCTTAACCTCACCTTGCCCAACACTGCTGTTCCTAACATTTAAGGGATTAGGTAATGTGTTAAAGGGACTGAGACCCTCACAAATGTTTGTTTGTAGCGTAGGGATTGGGTATTTACCCAGACCCTGAGTCTAACAGTGGTAGGGGTAAGAGAGAGGACTATTGGCTTGTTCTCTCCAGGGTAGGAACGTTAAGTCCAAGAGGAAAAAAAAAACACAACTGGGGAGGACTGTGTTGAATTGATCTGTTACAGCTGAAGCTCTCGTGGGAGGGAAGCGGGGAACCGTGTGGCCCTGATGCGAGGGGCTCTGTAAAGAAGATGCAGAAACGCTCAGACTGCTCTTTGACCATTTAATACTGAGTGACACAATGTAATGTGACTATTCAAACAGGTTTCACTGTTGCACTGTAAGAAGTCTTTGTCGAATGATTAAAAATTTTTATTGTTTGAACCCCTGGGTCTTGGTATGCGCCAGTTTTCCAGGGCCGTGGCAGGAGCAACCGAGACGGAATTAAAAGTTTGCAGGCTCTTTCCGCCCCCGCGGCTCGCGCCACAAGCTTTCCTGCAGCTGCGCACTGATCGCTTCGGATCTCACGGTGCCGCTGATGGGCATTCCATCGCCTCCAATCGTGGGGAGGAGGTGATGGGATCAACCAATTGGATTTCTTGGTGGGCGGGACAGGTGGTGCCGTTGTATTTTGGCGGTTCGACTTTAACATGGCGAACGCTAGCGGGAGTAACGTCGGCAGCAGCAGTGCCGAGGTGGTGGGAGGCGAGGAGTCATCCCTGGCGGAGGGGTCGTCAACCGCTCACATCCCGAAAGTGAAGCTTCTGGACACCGTGGTGGACACTTTCCTTCAGAAGCTAGTGTCTGCCGGGAGGTAAGAAGGGGGTGCGCCCCGAAGTCTCGTGAGTGTTCTGGCTCGCGGGAGGAGGTAAAATGCAAATCTCGCGAGATCTTAGCCGGCGCGGGGGGGGGGGGCTCCCCCCTCTCCTGTGGTTGCCTCGTGGCGGGGCTCAAGTCTTCGTTACCTGTAGGGGGGCAGTGGGTTCAAATTGTATAAGATTCGTTCAATCGCAGACACCCTCAGACGTTACAAGGGTGTAACCGCGCTAGGGGAACCTGTTATGGAATGGGGGCCGAACCCCACACCAACTGGTTAAGTACCCGCCCCTTGCGGCAGAGGGCGCGTCTGCTCCTGGCTCAGAAGTTCCGGGTTAACCTGGGACTCGGTACCTGCGGTGCGACACCCCCGCCCTAGATGACGAAAGGCCGAGGGCTTAACGGTGAGCTTTGGGTAGTTTTTGCACTCAGAGCTTTCCACACTCAGAGTCACAGGGTCAGACCCCAAAATCGTGCAAGGCAGCGGGTATACAAAGATGATTCTGAGCCTTCAACAGTCTAATTTACCCTGAATCAGTTCAATTCAGCATACATCGAGTGCCTGCTGTGTGCAGAATATTGTTAAGTGCTGGGGATACAGAGGCGAAAATGAAGCAGCAGCCCTGTCCATTACGAAGTTTGCAGTCTCCTTGGGCTTTTTATCCCATTTTCTTCTTTTCTCTGGCAGCATACCTGCTCTTATTATTCACTTTCTTTTGCTCATCACTCAAGCGTTTATTAAATGACTCTCTGCTGGGCACTGTGCTAAGACCTAAGGATGCAAAGAAAAGGAAAAATTAGGTCCTACCCTTAAGGAGATTGAGATAACACACATGTAGGCAATGCAATATTTTTGTTGTTCAGTAGTTTCCGACTCATGGTGACCCCATTTGGGGTTTTCTTGGCAGAGTTATTGGAGTGGTTTGACATTCCTTCTCCATCTCATTTTACAGATGAGGAAACCGAGGCAAACAGGGTTAAGGGACTCCCCCAGGGTCATAGCTCTAAGGCAAACTTAGCGGGAAAGGCCTCTTCTACAGAAGGCAGCATTTGAGCTAAATCTTGAAGGAAAATAGATCCTGAGAGGCAGAGGTGGGGAGAGAGCATTCCAGGCATTGTAGATGGCCATTTCGAAGGCATAGTGTTGAGTGGGGAAAGTGAGGAAAAGCAAGTAGGTCAGTATGACTGGACCATGGATAGCATGGAAGAGAGTAATGCCTAGTAAGACAGGGAAGTTAAGTTGGAGATGAGAGTATGAAGAGCTTTAAATGCCAGAGGCATCTGTTTGACTTTAGTTAATAGGAAGTCTCAGAAGTGGGTTGAGGAGGGGTGATATAAAGAGAGCTATGCTTTAGGAGAATCACTTTGGTAGCTGTGTGAAAGATAGATTGGAGAGGCCTGGAGACCAATTAGGAGAGAAAACGCCCAGGAGAGAGGCCTTGAAGGCCTGAACTAGAGTGGCTGACATAAGTAGAGAGGAGGAGAAGGATGCAAAATATGTTGTGAAGGTAGTAACAACAAGCTTTGGCAACTGAAAGGATATGTGGGGTAAGGACTTAAGGATGTCATTGGGGTCTTGATGGTTATGTGACAGCTTAGGTCAGGGGTGGAGATAAGGAGTTTAGTTCGAACAGTTTGCTGAGCAATTCATGATGCAAGACTCTGGACAGAAATGAAAGTTGTATATATAGATATGGGAGTCATTTATATAGAGATATTTGAAGCCATGGATCTGATGAAGTCACCAGGTAAGAAAGTATAAAGGAAAAACTTTCCTTATCTTCTCACACTTCTGCCACCCAAAAACATCCCCACATCTAAAAGTCTTTAAAAAAAAAACCCAACCCCAAACCCCTCCATTTCACTCTTTCATCCCCTCAAGCTATCATTCTGATTCTCTTAACAGCCAGACTCCTAGAAGGGATTGTCGATGCTCATTGTGGCCATTTTCTCACTCTTCAGCATAGAATCGTAGACTCTTAAAAGGGACCTCTTAAAAGGGAGGCATCTATTCTAACCCATACCTGAACAAGAATCTTTCCTACAACATCTCTTGACATGACCATTCAGCCTTGAAAGATTCCAGTGAGACAGAACTGACTTCCTCAAAGCTGAGGCAACCCCCTTCACTTATGGATAGCTCTGTTAGGAAATATTTCCTTTCACCAAGGTTAGATTTGTCTCTTTGTAACATCCTTGTCTTGTTTCTAGTTCCTCCCCTCGGGGTCAAACAGAAAACAAATCTAATCCCCTCCATTTGACAAGAGACTCTTCTTTAGACTAAACATCTCCAGTGATTTAATCAAACCTTTTGGCATGAATTTGAGGTCTTTCACCTTCCTGGTTGCTCTTCTTTGGACATTATCTAGCATATCTTTGTCCTTCCTAAAATGTAGAACTGAATGTACTCCACGTGTGTTTTCTAACTGGGGCAGAGAATGGTGATACTATCTCCTAACCAGTTCTAGACACTAACCCTTCCTGCTTTCTGGCTTCTAACTGCAGCTGGAAAATAAAACTACTTTTTTCAAACTGAGACTACTGAGATTGCCTTTTTCAGTGATATAAAAGATATGGAAAGTGCTAAATCCAGTCATCTTTTCTGAATGCTCATTCTTTTCTACATCTCTTTAGTTTTCAGCATTGTCAACCTGGATATTCTTCCCTCCCTTGGCTTTTTGTGACACTATCTTCATTTCCTTCTGATCTGACTGACTACTCTTTCTTCATCTCCTTTGCTGGGTCATCATCCATGCCTGTTAAGCATGGGTATCCCCTAAGGCTTTGTCCTGGGTCCTCTTACACTCTGACCTCATTAGCCCCCATAGATTTGACTATCGTCTCTATGCAAGTAAGTCTCAAATTTACATATCCAGCCTTCATCTCTCCCCAGCTGGATACTTCCATTAGAAGATCACATAAGTATCTCAAACTCAACATTTCCAAAAAGCACTCGTTATATATTTTCTCCAAAACCAATCTTTTCTCCTAATCTCTTCCCTGTTTCTGTTGAAATCACCCTAAGCTGAACCAACCTACTGGCCAGTCGCCTTTGCCAACTCAGTCATCCTTAACACTGACTCTCCTTCACGCCCCAGGTTCAGTTAGTTCCTAAGTCCCGTTGTTCTTCCATCTGTCCCCTTCTCTCTTCTCACACTGACCTTACCTTAGTTCTGTCTCTCACAATCCCTTGCTAACACTATTGTAATATTCTTCTAATTGATTGCCTTTTTCCATTGTCTCCCCCTCCAGTCCATCCTCCAGAGAGCCACTAGATTAGCTTTCCTTAAAAATAGGTCTCATCATTGAATACCCTTACTCAGAGGCTTCCTGTCACCTCTATAATGAAATCAGACTTCTCAGCATGTCACTTAAAGCCCTCTACAACTCACTTATTCTTTCACATAATTTCCCCTTCATCAAGTCTTTGTTCTAGCCAAACTGGCCTACTCTCTATTACTTACACATAATATTTCATCTCCCACCTCGGGCTTTATTTTGGGCCTCCCTGTGGCCTCAGACCCTTCCATCTTTTAGAATACCTTGTTTCCTTCAGGGCTTAGCTCGGGTACCATCTCCTATTCAAAGCCTTCCTCGATTTTTCTAGTTGTCTGTGACCTCTCGTTCCTGAAATCACCTTATATTATAGTTAGTTATGTGCACATTGTACCCCCTCTTTAGAATGTCACTTCCTCGAGGACAGGGACTATTTGATTTTTGTTTTTGTATCCTTAGTGCTTTGCACAGAATTCAATAACTATTTAAATACCTGTCATGTGACAATCATACCTAACATAATTTACTTATTCAGTGCCATAGCAATCAAACTACCAAAAAATTATTTCCTAGAGTTAGAAAAAATAATAACAAGGTTCATTTGGAAGAACAAAAAGTCCAGAATATCAAAGGAACTAGTGAAAAGAAATGCAAGGGAAGGTGGCCTAGCAATTCCAGATCTTAAATTGTATTATAAAGCAGCAATCATCAAAACTGCTTGGTACAGGCTAAGAAATAGAGCAGTGGATCAGTGGAATAGGTTAAATATGCAAGACACAGTAGTCAATGACTATAGAACCCACTCTTTGAAAAAAAACTGCTGGGAAAACTGGAGAAGAGTATGGCAGAAACTAGGCATAGACCCAAATCTCACACTATATACCAAAATAAAGTCAAAGTGGGTTCATGACTTAGATATAAAGGCTGATACTCTAAGTAAACTGGGAGAACAAGGAATAGTTTACCTGTCAGATCTATGGAGAACAGAAGAATTCATGACCAAACAGGAGATAGAGAACATTATGAAAAGCAAAATGGATAATTTTGATAACATTAAATTGAAAAGTTTTTGCACAAACAAAGCCAGTGCAACTAAGATTAGAAGGAAGGTAGAAAATTGGGAAAGAATTTTTACAGTCTCCCTCATAAGGGCCTCATTTCTAAAATATATAGAGAATTAAGACGTTTATAAGAATACAAGCCATTCCCCAATTGATAAATGGTCAAAGGATATGAACAGATGAAATTAAAATCATCTATAGTCATATGAAAAAATGCTCTGAATCATTATTGATTAGAGAAATGCAAATCAAAACAACTCTGAGGTACCACATCACACCTATCAGATTGGCCAACAAGACAAAACATGAAAATGATAAATATTGGAGAGGATGTGGGAAAATTAGAACGCTAATGCATTGTTGGTGGAGTTGTGAAATGATCCAATCATTTTGGAGAACAATTTGGAACTGTGCCCAAAGGGCTATAAAAATGTGCATACCCTTTGATCCAGCAATAGCACTTCTAGGGCTATATCCCAAAGAGATCATAAAAATGGGAAAAGGACCCACATGTACAAAAATATTCATAGCAGTTCTTTTGTGGTGGCAAAGAATTGGAAACTGAGAGGATGCCCATCAATTGGGGAATGGCTGAGCAAGTTGTGGTATATGAATGTAATGGAATACTATTGTGTTGTAAGAAATGATGAACAGGCTGACTTCAGAAAAACCTGGAAAGACTTGTATGGTCTGATGCTGAGTGAAGTGAGCAGAAGCAAGAGAACGTTGTACACCATAACAGCCATGTTGTGCGATGACTAATATTGATAAACTTAACCCTTCTCAGCATTACGAGGATCTGAGACATCTCCAGAAGCCTCGTGATGGAAAATGCTATCCACATCCAAAGAAAGAACTATGGAAGTTGAATCGCTATCGTTTTTTTTTTCTATTCTGTTGAGTTTTGTTTCCTCTTTCTGATGGTTACTCCTGTTGGTTTTAATTTTTACTTACAACTTCACTAATGTGAAAATATGTTTAATAGGAATGTGCACCGTGTTGGGGACGGTGGTGGGGAGGAAGGGGGAGAAAAATTTTAAACTCAAAAGCATATGGAAGTGTTTAATTAATTAATTAATCAGTAAATTAATTTAATTAATCCAACTCAAAATAAATAAATAAATGAAAGCCTGTCATGTGAAAGAGAAATTAGGCTTATTCTGTTTGACCCTAGAGGGTACAACCAGAAGTGGGTTAAGTGAAATAATAATACTTATAGTCAACAATTATATAGCATTTACAAAGCATGTTGCATATATTATCTCTTTGATAGAACAACCCCGTGAAGTAGGTGCTGTCAGAGAGACAAACTGAGGATTGATCTAGGGGAAGACCTCCTGGTTAATGGGAGCTATCAAAAAGCAGAATGGCACAGCCAAGGGGGTAGTATATTTCCTCTCACTAGAAGTCTTCTAGCAAAGGTTGATCACTTTTCCAGGTGTGTTGGAGGTAGCCAGGTGTTACAGTGGACAGAGCTTTGGACCTGGAGTCAGGAAGACCCAAGTTCAACAAATCCTGCCTCAAATACTTCCTGGCTGTGTGACACTAGGCAAGTCATTGAACCTTTGTCTCAGTTCCCTCATCTGTAAAATGGGGCTAAAAATAACAGCTACTTCCCAGGGCTGTTGATCAAATGAGATAATATTTGTAACGTGGCACACAGTGGACACTTGATAATTGCTCATTCCCTTTTTATTCTCTCTAGTGGGGCATCTTATTTAGATCCAGTTGAGATTGGAATGCTGCAGTGACTTAATTTGCCCACAGTCACACAGATAGGTATTTACAGAGCCAGCACTGCAGCCTGACTCTCCCGACCCCCAAATGAAATGCTCTTTCACCCTTTTTCTGTAGCCTTTTTTTACCAGAGCTGTTCATGAGGAGCAAAATGGATTCAAGTTTCACTTTTCTCTCAGCCCCTCGCTGCCCCCTGCTGGGCTTGCTTGGTAGAAAAGGAAAACAGGAGGGAGAAGCCAAGTTCCTTGGTGTTAGCACCACCTGGCAAACTGAATACTTTAGCCCCTATATCATCAGCACATTTATGGAAATACATGTATTTAGATCAAAACCAGTCTGTCTGCATATTGGCACATAAGGACTGCTGAAGTACAAAGAAAAGCTTAAGTAATGGGCCTAAAATAACTGACATTGATTTTAAAAACAAAACATTTTGAGTTTCTTAAGGCTTCTAAAAAAACCCCTTAGTTTAATAGTGAATTAGATGCATTAAATTAAAAAAAAACCTTTAGCTTAAAAGTTGTTTTTTTGCCTTAGTTGCTTAAACTCAATAAATGTGGTTTAAAAAAGCAACTTTTTTTTTAAGGCCTAGGTCAAGCTTTTCTTTGTGCTGTTAGGTTTACAGAGTGCTTAGTCTGGTTTATTCCTATCACTGAATCAGTAAGATTCCAGGCTCCCTGTAGAGGTAGGGAACGGGAGGCAGAGCCTAGGCCATGCTGTGTGGCAGAGATGCACTTGGGTTCACCATTAGGGAAAGCCTAAAGCCTCACCTTTAGGCTTCTAGCACTTGAGGTACCTGGTGTCCTCCTGATGCAAAGGGATGACTGGGCAGAAGAGTGACAGAGTGAACTCTTCCCATCATTTAATCACAAGCCTCTTTTCACAGCCCTGAGGCTGTGGCCATTCAGATTCATTTAGTAACTCACCTTTGACCCTTATGTCAATCATGGGCCCCCCTGCAATCTATTTACATGCCTAGTGCTGTGCTAGACACTGGATATAACAGAGCGGTTTAAGACATAGTTCTTACAGTAAGGAATTTACACTCCACTAGATAGAATATTCTTGAGGGAAAGAAGGAGCCTCAGGAAATTTCCCAAAATGTATTATTTCCCTCTCCCTGCCTGTTCAAAGAATCCAAAATGGAACTTCAAATTTTTTCCCGTTCAAGGAACTGCTTGCTCTTCAATTCACACTTGTTTTCCAAATTTGTGTGCCTCCCTGATTGAAGTTCATTCCTCCCCAGCAGTACAGATAGTCTTAACCCTGAGGGCTGGTAGGAAGAGTGTTTATACTGTTTGCCATTCTCTGGTCACATTTTCTATACATGCATGTGTGTGTGCTCATCCATACATGTATGTATACACATATTATAGATACACGTCTGTTTACAAATACACATTTATATCACACATACATATACACACACACTCCTCTCCTTCAGCAACCTGAGAAGAAAACACAATTTGAATCTCAAGCTCTCTGCTTGCTAGTCCTGAGAAGGGACTAGGAGGAACAGAAATTGACCCATTTCCAAAAGCTAAACCAGACTTCAGCCCACAATTAGCCAGGATGAGGTATCCTCATTTTCTCCTTTCCAGTCCTCTGCCGCCACAGACCTCATTTCTAGTGGAACCAGATGCACACAGCAATTTGGTTGTATTGGTTGTTTGGGCCTTCGGTTGGGTCAATAGGATACTACTTCTCCAGCCAGAAAGTGGGAGTTTTGTGACCGTATCCTGTATATTGTTCTTTTTTTAGTTTAAGCCATGAGCAAGCCCCTCAGGGGAAGCAGTATAAATCTAATCTTAGATAATTCTTAGATAGAATCTTAGAGATCATCTTGTCCCGACAGTGACTTGCTCAAGATCACACAGCAAGGTAGTAGGAGTGTCAGGACTTAAAGTAGGTGTTATAATTCCTACTTATAACACACTCATTCCAGTGGATTTCGAGGAGAAATGATCTTGTTATTCTCACTTCTTAAATCTCCCTGTGGATTTGAGATAGGGGATTAGAGATCATTTGAAACAGTAGAGAGGGAACAGAGTGAGAAATACATAGCAGTGTTGTCCCCCCAGTGTTGTGCTATTATGCCTTTTATCTAGATTGGACCCACGCACCCTGTCTCAAACATCCCATTATAGAGTAGGGAATGTTTTGGCTTTTGGTGAATCTCGTAAACATTGGTTTGTTTATGAGGAGTTTGACATTCAGACACTTATTAGAAGAGGGTTATAGTACAAAGGGTTGCCCCTGTTCCCTCTGGCAGCATGGGCTCTTTTGGGGGCAGTACTGTGTGCCACTTGTGTTCCAGAGTTGCATGTGGGCCCCTTGCCCCACTCCCAGCCCCAAGGTGCTTTTCCCGACTAAATTTTAATGCTCCTTGGAGTCATCGAAGTGGGTGGTATGAAAATGTACTATCTTGTAGTAGTCAGTGGAATAGGAAAAGAGAACACAAAGTGGGAGAGAAAGCAGCAAAGATAGCTGATTTAATTTAATTAACTCCTTGTGTCTGAGGGAAAAGAGAGCTAGAAATATACTTCATTTTGGGGAGTGATAAGAAAGCCACAGATACTTACTAGCTGTGTGACCCTGGGCAAGTCACTTAACCCCATTGCCTAAAATTACAACAACAAAAAAAAAAGAAAGAAAGCCACAGATAATTGAAATGTACAGAGAAATAATTTCCTTCGACCTCAGTCCCCATGCTAGCATTTGCCCAGAGCTGCAGCATGGCTAGCTTTAAACTTTGCTGTCTTTCCCAGCAAAGTAAGCATAAAGCAGGGAGCAGGAAAAGTGAGATCCTGAATCATCTGCCCAGAATCCTCAGCCTGGAGATGACTCATGGTGGAGAGCTGTTCATCTTTGCCGGGGAGGTAGTCAAAGCAGCAGTTGAGCAAGTGCCTTGTAATGGTGATTTAACTCTATTTTCTCATCCCTTTGTCCAGTTATGAGCGATTTGCCAAGTGTTACAAGCGCTTCTACAAACTTCAGCCTGAAATGACACGACTAATTTATGACCAGTTTATAACTCAGTTGCAGACATCCATCCGGGTAAGTAGATAAGAAACACAGCTAATTCCCTTGGTTTTCTGATTTTGCCACTAAATTTTAAGTCCCTTGAGGTTAGGAACTGTATCTTATTGGTCACTAGGCCTAGTGCTTTGCATATAGTAGATAACTATGTATGTTAGTTGGATGAGGAAGTTAGGTACATCTGAGTCCGTGTGGTGTAGGAGAAAGGACACTGAGTCACATTAACCTCTGTGACTTTGGGAAAGTCCTTTTACCTCTTTGAGCTTTAACCTACTCATCCGTAAAATGAGACACTTAGACTGGATGACCTTCAATGGCTCTTCCAGCTCTAAGTCTTACTATCTTACGAACAGTTCCTCTGTAGCTATTGCCAGTCACCTTCTCAGCTGGTGAGATGATACCATTGGTAACTGAATGACTGTGGTATACCTAGCCCTTCCTTGCTTCTGGTGGTTGGTACAGTGGACAGGTACAGAAGAAATGAAAGATGGTGGTCTCTGTCTTCAGGAGATGGTGAACTGGAGGGATCACAAATGTGCCAGAACATAACTCTCCTGTCTGTGGGTATGGAAAAAACTCCAAACATCTAATTGCTAGGAGCTTGGAAGCATTAATACCTTATGACATTTTAATTCAGTTGAATGGGTATTTATGGAGCCCTTACTATGTTTCCAGCCCTGGATTAACTGTTAAGTATTATGGGGAGTACAAAAGCAAATAACATGATATATTTTCTAAAGTATCTTATGCTTCAATTAAATAGAGAATAATTAAGACAGGAAAAAATGTTTAAATAACGAAATGTGTGGTGTGGACTATATTTAAAAATCTTAGACAAAATCCACATAAACTAGAGTCAGTGAAAGCTTTGTGTTGGAATTTTAAAGAGTAGGATAGAGTTGGGGCAGCTAGGTGGCACAGTGGATAGAGCGCCAGATCTGGAGTCAGAAGGACCTGAATTCAGATGCAGCCTCAGACACTTACTAGCTGTGTGACCCTGGGCAAGTCACTTAACCCTGTTTGCCTCAGTTTCCTCATCTGTAATGGTCTTTACCAAGAAAACTGTACTCCAGTTTCTTTACCAAGAAAACCCCAAATGGGGTCACAAATAGTCGGACATGACTGAAATAACTGAACAACAACAAAAAGGATTTGAATAGATAGAGAGGGAAAAGGAGGGCATGTTAAATGGAGGACGAATTGCAAGGTCCCTTAAAGGTCATCCAGTCCAACTTGTACTTCAATAGCAGTCACCTTCGGGCATCCCCAAGAGCTCTTCATTCAGCCTCTGCACAAAGACTTCTAATAAGAGTGGAAAGCTTACTACCTCCAGGGACAGCTTGTCTGCCTTTGAGTTCTACTTCTTTTTTTTTTTTTATTAATTTGTTTATTTTTAGTTTTCAACAATCACTTCCATAGGCTTTTGAGTTTTAAATTTTCTCCTACTTCCCTCCCCAAGATGGTGTGCAGTCTGATATAGGTTCTACATATACATTCCTATTAAACATATTTTCACATGAGTCATGTTATAAAGAAGAATTAGAAACAATAGGTGGAACCACAAGAAAGAGGAAACAAAACAAAACAGAGAAAAAAGAGCAAATAGTATGCTTCAATCTGCATTCAGACTCCATAGTTCTTTCTCTGGATGTGGATAGCATTTTCCATCATGAGACCTTTGGACATGGCTTAGATCCTTGCATTGCTGAGAAGGGCTAAATCTATCAAAGTCAGTCATCACACAATGTTGCTGTTTCTGTGTACAATGAATGTTCCGGTTCTGCTCACTTCATTCAGCATCAGTTCATACAAGTCTTTCCAGCTTTTTCTGAAGTCCATTTGCTCATCATTTCTTATAGCACAATACTATTCCATTACATTCATATACCACAACTTGTTCAGCCATTCCTCATCTGATGGGCAGACAGTTCCACTTCTTACTGTGGTTTTTCCATGCTGTCTGTTTTTCTGTATTTTCTACCTGTTGTTCCTAGTCCTGCCTTTTGGGAACAAGCAAAACAGTATCATCTTTCTTCTACATCAGAGACCTTCTATTCTTGAAGACAGCTGTCTTGTCCACACTAAGTCTTCTCTTCTCCAAGCTAGTTCCTAGTTCTTTCAAATGATCCTCGTGTGGTGTGATCTGTTGTCCTTTTAACATCATGATCACTCTCTTCTGGAGGTGCTGAAATTTATCAGTGTCCTTCCTAGAATGTTGGAAAAAGCTATCCTGGCAATAGTGAAGAGAATGTGTTGCTAAATAAGAGGTGATAAGATTAGTCAGATAGAGGTCCTTAAAGGCCAGTAATTTGTAGACTTGGTCTGACAGGCAGTATGGCGCCAGTGGAGATTTCTGTCTGTTTCTTCCATACTGTTCTGCCCCTTTTCTATATGGTTTTGCCTCTTTTCTCCTTTACTCTCAGGAAGAAGTTTCCACAATTAAGGAAGAAGGAAACCTAGAAGCTGTTTTGAATTCCCTTGATAAGATTGTGGAGGAGGCTGAGGACCGAAAGGAGCCAGCATGGTAAGAATTGATTATGGGGCAGCTAGATGGCACGGTGGATAGAGCACTGGCCCTGAAGTCAGGAGGACGCGTCTCAGACACATGATGCTCACTAGCTGTGTGACCCTGGGCAAGTCACTTAACCCTGAGTGCCTCACCAAAAAAAAAGAAAAAAATTGATGGCATGGAAGAGGAAGGGAACTGAAGACCCCCTTGTGTGTTCATTTTTAGGAAATGTTTGGATTCTCTTCCAAATAGCTGCAACTCAAAGGAAAGGGCGATAAAGTGGACTTAACCATCATTATAATTAATAATCATTATAAAGCTTTTATATGGGTGCTTGACAGATAGTTATGCTGCCATGGTCCCTGCTCTGTGAGAAACCTACTGACGTAGAAAGAGCAGAGACCAAAGAATAAGAGTAGTGAAGTAATAGTTAATTTAACATTTAGGTATTTTCGTCATTTAGGGTATATCCCCAAAGTCTTAATGAAGTTTTAAACTTTATTAACTTCAGAAGTATAAAAGCTATAAACTTACAAAAAAATCTCTTGGAAGCTTGTTTAAATTTCTTTTACGTTGACTTAGTTTTGTGAATATTGTTTAATAAGTTTTTTTTATTTTAATTCAGTTTCCTGGATGACACATTTCAGACCAGCCACTGCATTCACCTGATCTATTTTGTGTTTGTTTGTTTGTTTTGTTTTGGGGTTGTTTTTTTTTTGATTGAGCAGTGGGAGTTAAGTGACTTGCCCAGGGTCACACAGCTAGTGTTATGTGTCTGAGGCCGGATTTGAACTCAGGTCCTCTTGAATCTAGGCCAGTGCTCTATCCACTGTGCCGCCTAGCTGCACCCCTCCCATTCACCTTATCTATCTCCATTAGACTTCTGGGGTCACATCAGAACTGCTGTATATACATCAAAACCTTGCTTTTCAGATGATCTTACGGCTAGGATTACAAATATAATCACTGAACAGCAGCTAATGAAAGTTTTTACAAAATTCAAAAATAGACTGAAATAGAGACTTGGAAAATGTTTGGCAAAATAAAAAACAATAAAACATAGATAGTGTTAATATATGGTTTTCTAGGTCAATATTCAGGCCACAGGGGAGATCTAGAAGGAAGAGGAAACATGTAGCTCTCAGAAGCTCCAAGTTTGATGAGAGAGACGGGATATGCCTCAGGACTGATAGACAAGGGTATATGATACAGCTAGCCACAGCTCCAAATACCAATGGGGGGGAGCAGAGGGAACATGGGTAGGAAGGGGGCAGTGTGGTGAAGTTTGGAGAGGAAGAATGGAAAAATCACATCAGTCGTAAATAAGAGGAGGGACATTAGAGTTGGGAAGAACATGATGGCAGGCTTAATAGAGGCGGCAGAAAGAATTCCTGGTTAGAATGGTTCAAGCTAGGGGCCACTAGGCAGGTCTACCCAGGTAGAGTAGTCTTTTGGGGTGTTATTGAAAATGACAGATGGTAGAAGGCAATAGAAGAAACCTCAAAACCCTAGTTAAGTTTGGCTTGAGCACAGGAAGCAATTAGTCCTTAGGAAAAGGCGGTACCTTCCCCTCTCTCCACCTCCTTTCCACTCCAGATCTCTTTACCCCCTTTGTTTATGTTGCCATGTCTGAACTTCCTGACTAGGCGCCCCAGTGGGATTCCTGAAGATGATGTGCGCAGTACGCTGATACCCTACTTCTTACAGCAGCAATCGTCCCTGAAGCGACTGGTCCAGGAGCAGGAGAGGGAGAATGTCAAACTGGCTGAAATGGTCCTGGAAGGGCGGAAACAGGTGCTAGAGCTACAGCAGCAGATCCAGGCCCGGAAGCAAGCTTGGCAGGCAGGTGTCCTCCTTCCTCCTCCATTCTGCTGGTAGTGGCCAGAGGAGTTTCCAAATTGATGACATTCTGAGGCTGATGGTGATAGTAACAACTCTTACTGATACAGTGCTTTACATATGTTATCTCATCTGATCCTCAAAATAACCATATAATGTAGGTGTTGTTATTATCTCCATTTTACAGTTGAGGAAACTGAGGCTGAGAGAGTTAAATGATTTGCCTAGGGTCTCACAGCTAGTAAGTATCTGAGGCCAAATTTTAAACTCAGGTTTTCCAGCACTATTTATCTACTTCGCCACCAAAGCAGAAATTTCATTATAGGAAACAAGGAGAGCAATTGTATTATGGCTAATTATATTTGGCAAGAATGCCAGCATAGGACTCACAACTAATGCCTCTCTCTTCCCTTTCCCCATTAGTCATTTGGCATTTTGATGAAGCTTATCAGAATTTCAAGAACATTGACATAGGAGGCATCATGAGAGTTAAAAACCAGCACATAGTGCAGGTGTGCATCCCTAGCCCCAGAAAAAAAGAATGAGGGGCTTCTGTAGTAGGGATGGGGTCTGCTGCCTATTTCTGAGGTGGGAGAAGAAATAAAAGAATATCATCCACCCCAACACAGATAAGATTCAGGGCTGGAGACCCTTCATGGAGAGGAGTGAAGGAGAGATATTTAAAAAAACCAACTCCACAAATACAAGGGTGAACAGCAAGTTGTCTGAAAACAGTCTGGGAAAATAAATGGACTTCGGGTTGGACATGAGTCTAGAGTGTGATGTGTCAGCCCAGAAAGCTGCCTTGGGAGGCAGACACGGTCTCAGTGTTGTGTGTGTGGGTCAGGTCACATTTGCAGCCTTGTATCAGGCTCCAGACCCTGCCTTTCAGGAAGAACCTTGACAAACTAGAGAGCATTCAGGGAAGGGCAGCCAGAATGACGAAGGATCATGCCATGTCAATCAGTCAGTAAGCCTTTATCAAATACATGAGGTGTGCCGGGCACTGTTTTAGACCCTGGGGACACAAGGACAAAAATGAAATGATCCCTGTCCTCAGGGAGCTTCCATTCTGTTGCTTCAGGGGTGGAGGAAGAGGAGAGGGGGACTATATGTACATCTATAAGTATATACAGAATATAGCCAAGGTAACTGAGAAGGAGACCTCTGCAGCTGGGGATGGGCTCAGGAAAGCCTTCCTAGAGAAAGTGGTCCTTGAGCTGAGCTTTGAAGGAAACCAGGGATTCTCAGTGGCAGAGTTAAGAAGGGAGTGTATTCCAAGCATGGGAGATAGCCTGGGCAGAGGCTGGGAAATAAGAGATGGATTGGTTATACGTGAGGAACAGCAGAAATCTAGTTTGCCCCATAGAGTATTGGAAGTGGAGTAGTGAGTAATGAGGCTAGAAAGGCAGGATGGAGGCAGATCGCAAAGGACTTCACATACAAAACAGGAATTTGTCTTTGGTGCTAAAGGCAGTAAAGAGCCACTAGAGTTTACTGGGCAAGAGAATTACATGGTTAGATTTGTGCTTCAGAAAAATCACTTTGGCAGTAATGTAGAGAGTGGATTGAAGAGGGGAAGTGGGAGAGATGAAAGAAACCAAGTGGAGACTGTTAGAATAGTCCGGGTGAGAGGTAGTGAAGACCTGAACTATGATGATGACTTTGTGGGTAGAGAGAAGGGAATGGATGCAGAAGTAGAAACAAGAATGAGGAAATGATAGGATCTGTGGAGTGAAGGAGAATGACTGAGGTTTTGAGCTTAAGTGACCAGAAGGATAGTGCTTCATTCAACAGAAACATGGAATTTTGGTAGAGGGGTGGGCTTGCAGAAAAGGATAATGAATTGTTTTGGACATGTTGAATTTGAGCTACCTATTAGACATTTAGGTCAGGATGTCATAGGCAGTTGGTGATACTTGGAGTAGAGCTTAGAAGAGAGACGAGAGCTAGATATATATAGAGAGAGAGAGATTTGGGAGTCATCTACAAGAGATGATAGTCAAACCAATGGGAATTGATTAGTTCACCAAAAAAGGGAAAATGGAGAAGAAAAGACAGCCCAGGACAGAACCTTGGGGTACATCCACATTTAGAGAGTAGGATATGAATGATGCTCCAACAAAGGAGACTGAGGGACTGCAGTTGGATGGAAGAGAAGAGTCAAAAGAGAATTGTGTCATGGAGACTCAAAGAAGAGAGAAAGTGCGGAGGATAAGGTGGAATCATGATTGGTCATTACACTGGTCAGAATTCTTAAGTCTTTGATTAGTAACTTTGGAGACAGCAATTTCTGTTGAGTGAGCTTAGAAGCTGTATGGCAGAGAGTTGAAAAATAAGTGAGAGAAGAGGAAGGGCAGCAAGAAACACAGGCAACTTTTTTAGGAGTTTGGCTATGAATATGAGGAGAGATATAGGATAATAACTCAAAGGGATGGTAAGGTCAAGTGAAGGTTTTTTATGTTAGGGAAAAACCTAGACACATTCATAGGCAGTAGGGAAGAATGTCCAGGCAAGAGGGAGAGAGTGAAGATTAGAGAGGGAGAGGGGAATGATTTAGGGTGAAATATATAAAAAGAAATGGGAGGGAATGGGATCATAGGTACATGTAATGGGAGTAATCTTGGCAAGGAGAAGGAACACCTCTTCATCAGACACTAGAGTAAAGGAAAAAAGAATGGAGAATGTGAAGGGATTTTGAGATGTGGAGAAGGTGGCACCTAGGTTTGTATCATCATTAGAAGCAAAGCAATCCTGATGGTCACGTAAAGCAGCCCATGCCCACTGTTGGAGGTGTTTGGGTGTCACTTCCAGTAACACCTCCTGTAGGAGTGCTGCATACTCCAGAGAAGTGACCCTTACCGTCCTGGTCTCCCAAAATTAGATCCATACTTCTTTGGGAAGTCAAGTCGTCCATTCATGAGAACTGTGATGGAATTCCCAGAATGCTTAGGAAATTCCCAGGTTGCTTATGGCACCTATGCCTGAGGAAGTGGCGTGTCTGTAAGCCCAGTAAAACCAGTCGTGTACTTTCTCTACAATAACAACCTCCATGCTTCTGATGTAAGCTCTGCTCTGAGGCCATTTCCTCCTTCTTTTTCCCACCTTTGATTAATCTGTTTGATTAGGAAGACTGCTTAAGTTTAGAAGAAGTTCTGATGTATATTTGTTTTTTTAAAGTAGGAAAATAAAAGCAAAAAAAAAAACAAATGAAGGCAAGAACCCACACTTTTTAAACTATTTGTCACCTTTGTGCTTTCTAGCAGTCTCAGTAACTTTGTTTACTTTGTATTAAACAGAAATGAATAAATTTTGAGCAGCCTTTTTTTTTTTAAAGGAAATCAATTAGGTAGGAGTAAAAGGCTTGCCTTGCTGCGATGTGATTGGATAACATAAATTGTAGTGGGCCCAGCCTGCATGGCTGTGTGACTTTCTCTAGTTCGTTTAACCATATGTGAGTGTGCATGGATGAGGCAGATGAGAATAATCTAGGGTGGGGATTTGTAAGGTGACAGGAGCAATAGGATAAGGGAACAAGGGATTCAGGAATAGAAGGTAGTGTAATGTAGTGTACTGGTTAAATAAAGATTATGAAAGGAAAAAAAGGAAGCTGAAACAGGAGTGATGGCCTGGGAGGACCCTCAGAGATGGAGCAGCTGGAGGTCATAGTTAAGATCAAGGATGGTGCTAACAGGACTGAAGCATATGGAGAAACAGAATGCTGTAATGGTATCATTGCATAAGGGAATTTTAGAATTCTTGGTCATGGAAATGGAATAATCATTTGTGGGTGAAAGTAAGATTAAAGGTATGGCTATCCCTGTATGTGATAAATGTAGAATGGAAGAGTAGATCATGGGACAGTGAGAAAGTAAGAGGCTAAGTAGTTTGAAGTAACACCAACATGTATATTGAAAACTCTAAATATAAGAACAGGAGTTGAGTAGAGGGAAAGACTGGGCGCTATGTAATAAACTTCATGAGAAAGTAGGGAAAATGGCCTAGGGACCAGGAAATGACTACCTCCAGGATCTGGATAGAGTGAACCTCGAAGGAGGAGAAGCTGCTGAGTTATGGTGGCGGAGGGAGAGTCTGGAAGTGACAGTAGAGAGCAAGAAATAGTCCAGTCCTTTGAGAACCAGTATGTTGGGGGCAGGGTATGAGAGAGGATGCAACTCATACCAGAGTATCCTAGATTGCAGTATTATGTGGTATGAGACTGGGCTTTGTGAGTTCTAGAAGATAGGAACACAAGAGGAAGAGGTGTAAAATGAAAGGAGGTTTGTTAATGATGTCCAATTCCAAATGGTGCAGTGGAAGGGGAGAGCACACCTGGACTGGGACCTGGGAAGGGTGGGGTTGACATGGATAGGTTTGAGTGAACATGAAGTAGGGAAGTGGGGATCAAATCTTGGGCAGGCAGGAATTCAGCTGAAATCAGGAGAGATGGTAGGAGCTTGTCGGCCACTGGGGATAAGACCAGGCAGTAGTGCCCAGCAACTCCATTGATGGCAGTAGCTGATTGGAAGCTCATGGTAACTGTTGTGTCTGGGCTGTCTCTAGTGCTCACTGGATGAGGATTAGTTGAAGGAATTGGGTATGAGAAGGGAATGGGGCTGGAGAAGAGAAGATTTGAGGGCACAGGGAAATATGGTAGTTTTCTTCAAGGATCTGAAGGTTTGTCATCTGAAAGAGAGACTGCACTTGTTTTGCCAGCTCTAGAGGACAGAACCAGGAATAAAGAGTGCATTTATGCTTGAGGTTAAAAAGAACTCCCTGACACCTAAAAGTGTCCCAGAGTGGGGTGGGCTGGAGTGCTCAATACATAGGGAGCTCCCAGGTCAGGTATGTTGTAGAAGGATTCTTTTTCAGGAATGGTTTGGACTCGGGGCCACTGAGGTCTCTTCCAATTTTAAGATGGTAAGATTCTGCAAGGAACAATTTTGAATATCACTTTGGTAGAGCCTTGAGATAAGTGAAAAGATTAGATCAAAGAAGGTGAT